AAATAGACTTCTCTATGCGGCACTCAAGATCCATTAGGAACCTGAAAATAACAGATCATTATCTAAGGGTGGAAATCAGCAGATAATGTCGTGATGCTTCCGTCGGAGCAGAGCCTGTCCTACCGTTCACTGGTCTCCATCACTTCTTCAATGTTGGAGAAGAGAAAATGTGTGTCGGACTGGCTGAGGGAGTTCATCAGAACAGGGTTCTGTAGAAAATGTGTCTCTAGGATCTCCAGACTCTTGTAGTATGATGCTTCAGATGTAATCAGCTCAAACATGGTCTAAAGAAAAGACACAATATTTAATTTAAATGATAAAAAGACATCATTGTTCTGCTCCACAGCTGCTTTAACACACAGGAAGTCCAGATCCTCTACTGGTTTTATGATGGAGTACTGGGACCTGATCATTGTTCAGTTATTATTACAGACCACTGTGTGAGGCCTGGAGGACACATGGACATGTCTCCTGTCCAACACAGACACCTGGACAGGTCTCCAGTCCATCACAGACACCTGGACAGGTCTCCAGTCCATCACAGAGACACATGCACAGGTCACCAGTCTAACACAGAGACACAGGTCTCCAGTCCATCACAGACATCTGGACATGTCTCCAGTCCAACATAGAGATGCATGGACATGTCTCCTGTCCAACACAGACACCTGGACATGTCTCCTGTCCAACACAGACACCTGGACAGGTCTTCAGTCCAACACAGACACCCAGACATGTCTCCAGTCCATCACAGGGAAACAGAGACAAACAACCATCCACCTCCTTGCCCAGGGTCAGTTTAGTGTTTCTAGTGAAACTAACCTAATATTTCTGGGAGAGGCCAGAGTACCTGGAGAAAACCCACATGTGCATGAAGAGAACATGGTAACTCCAGAGAGAAAAACCACTTCAATCTTCTATTTCAGTTCAGCTCAGAGTAGAAACTCCAGTTCAACTTAGAATAAAGAACAAAACTACAACCATCAGTTTGGAAAAGTAAAACGTGATATCATCACATTGTTATACAAGTTGTATATAAGTTATAAGTTATTGTTTTATAAGCCGTTATAAAAGCCAATGGTGGTGCACCTAAATACTAGTGATGTATTTTGAATGGTCGTTTGTTTATCTGTTTTTCTTGATTCCATACTTTTTTCCTAGAATTGAGTGATTCCATATTTTTCCCCCGTGCTTGGTCAATAAAAGTAGCGTTCACTGACTTCCACAATGTTTTCTCTTCATTTCTTTGAGTGTTCCTGAAAGCCAACAAGTTGTACTTTGAAATGACCTCATTATTATATCATGTTTTTGATCTGAGTTTGTTTTACAGAATTAAATGTCTGAATGAGTGCTCATCCAAGACTGCTGATTCCATACTTTTTGCCAGGGGTTGAATATGCTCCTAATTTTGACAACCCATGTTTCATGAACAAGTTGTTTGAAATTCTACCTTCTTTGAATAGCTGTGTTTTGATTTTTGGAGGGGACATGAACTGTTCTATTGATCCTCAGTTAGACCGTTCTAGACCTGTCCTAATTCGATAGTCAGTGGTTAAAACCCTACATCGTTTTATGCTAGATACTGGTTGTGTTGACTTCTGGAGATCCCGTAATCCGAGCTGTAGGCAATACTCTTTATTCACATGTTCACCAGACTTTTTCATGTATAGATAATTTTTTTGTTGATGCTAAACTTATGCCTAAAGTATCAGATGTTACATACCACCCAATCATTATTTTGGACCATGCCCCCCAACCCTCGCGATCTTCAGATTTCGTCTGGACCTCAATTTCCCTCTCAATGGCGATTTAACATTTCATTACTAGCAGATGGTAAAGTTTATTGTGAATGCAATAGAGGATTTCATTGCCCTCAATGACTCTGATTCTGAACCAATTTCTAGGCCACTCCTATGGGATTCTTTGAAGGCATATCTATGTGGTCAGATAATTTCGTACTCTGCACATGTGAGAAAATTGAGGATGTCAAAAATTCCCCCTTGTTTAGTTTCCCCCTTTAGACACAGAACTGATTGATCACCTAGAATCTGGCCTGACTGTTCAGGAGTTAAATGCTGCTTTACGAAATATGCAAAACAACAAAGCCCCAGGACCCGACGGGTTCCCAGTTGATTTTTTTAAAGCATTCCAAGCCAAACTTATTCCATTGCTGCATTCTGTCTATATTGAGTCTCTGTCACTTGGCTCACTTCCCCCTTCGCTAAGACAGGCTTCTATCAGTGTCCTCTTAAAGAAGGACAAGGATCCTGATCTAAAATATGGTAGAGCCAGAGGTTTTCAGATCAATTGACGCTGAAAAGGCATTTGAACGGGTTGAATGGAGTTATCTGTTTGCCGTTCTGACTAAATTTGGATTTGGTAAAAAATTTATATCATGGATACGCCTTCTTTATACACTGCCTAGTGCCAGTATTATTGCCAATAACAGCCGATCCAGATACTTCTTTTTAAATAGAGGGTGTAGACAGGGCTGTCCGCTGTCGCCCCTCTTGTTTGCACTTGCAATAGAACCCTTGAGTATTTTTCTGAGAACCTGTCCCAATATTAATGGACTTATAAGGAATCGCACAGAACTAGGCTATCGTTATACGCAGATGACGTGCTTTTATATGTCACAGATCCAATTGGAACCTGCCCCACTATTGTTAAGTTCTTTCACAGATTTGGCCAGTTCTCAGGGTATAAAGTTAATATCGTAGAGTGAATGCTTTCCTGTTAACCAGTTAGCCCTACAGCTTTCCCAATCTGATGTTCCTTTTAAGCTGTGCCCTTTAGGTTTTTGGTATCTTGGGGTCAACTTAACCAGATCTTTTAAGTCTTTGTACTCAAAAATTTCTCCCACTCTTGGCGGATATTAAAAAAGACTTTCAAAAATTGGGGTACCTCCCACTCTCCTTGATCGGGAGAATAAGCATTGCTAAGATAAATATCCTGCCAAAATTTCTCTTTCTTTTTAAATGTCTACCTGTATTTTTACCAAGAATTTTTTTTAAATCATTAGCTTCGGATATTTGTCATTTTTTTGTGGAATGGCAAAACACCCAGAGTAAAACAAAAAATACGTCAGAACTGTAAGTTTTATGGTGGTCTCAGCCTACCCAATTTTAAATTTTATTACTGGGCAGCTAACATAACTAAAATTGCTTTCTGGTCTAACTCAGTTGATATACCCTGGTGTCAAATAGAAGCACGTTCATGTCCCTCGGCCTCACTTTTGACATTACTTACAGGTCCAGCCTCTGTAAATCCCTCTGGCCAAACCAGTAACCTCATAGTTATAGATACTTTGAGAATATTGTTTCAGTTTAGAAAGCATTTTAAATTTACAAGCCCTGTAGTCTTGACCCCACTTTTAAAATACCCACTGTTTACACCTGCTTTTACTGACCTGACCTTCTCCATATGGCAGGATAAGGGACTATAAAGTTTCAAGGATTTATATAAGGACGGGTTGTTTTGCTCTTTCACTGATTTGGCTTCTGAATTTGATCTCCCACAATCCCTTTTGTTTAGATATTTTCAGATAAGGGCCTGTGTAAAATCTTCATTTCCCAACTTCCCTTACCAGCCACCTGTACAGCCCTGGGGTGAACTTATACAATTTAAACCCCTGCAAAGGTCTTTCATCTCAAAGATTTATAGCTCAATTCAATCATATGATGTCTGTTTGACTACGAACAGTCACTAAGAAAGCTTGGGAGCGTGAACTGAGGCTGGTTTTTGGTGATGATTGGTGGGAGGCAGCCCTGACAGTGTTTACTCCCATGAAGTACTCACCTCTTGTATTATGATTTCATTCTGTGGTAACCTGTTGAGAAGGCCGCTGGCTTGCACAGCATCCAGGTTCTGCCACAGGCGTAGTGACTGAGCGTTCCTCAGCTGCAGATGTACACCTGGTGATGTGGGATCTGACGCCGCAGTTCCTGCCTTCAACCCAGGACTACTGTTCTCACTCAGACGGTGTTGCTTGATGTCCTGCTGCTTGGAGGTGACCTGGTATTCCTGGTACAGCAAATCTAGAGTGTCAAAAGACAATGACTACACGAGTCACACACAAAATATCTTTTGTCTTATTCCAACAGCTTATTTAGAGTTTCTATCATAAGTTTCTGAGACCAGTATGTAGGATTAAGAAGCAGGCAGGTGCGCACCAAAATTCTCCCACATAAAATCTGTGTCCATTTCATGTACAATTATTCATCACGCATAAACAAAACCAGAGATACAGTACTTACATATTAATTAAACTGTAGGTTCTTCCTCCTCCACTCGAGGAAGAACCTCACTTCCAACTAGGAGACCCTCTGCCATTCCAGTGGCACTGTCCCCGAAGTCCAAGGGATGCTTTAAAAGTGTGTTAACCAAGACAGCCCTGCAACACTGAGGACTGAGGTTCATTGAGTAACTCAGGGTGGATCTCATATGTCCCCTGCACTGACACTAAGCTTTTTAACTACATCCATGATCACAGCCATGGTTGTGGCAAGACCAACCCTAAAACCCCCATGCTGAGTTTCCTTCATGGCAGATGTGCTGATGGGATTGAGAAATTCCTAAAATTATTTATTTTACCAACCAACAGCATTACTGGTTGAGGTCAAGGGCACCCCTCCTCCTCTATCCACGTTAGTGAAGTACTGCCAGATTGTTTGCCAGAATCTTATTGGAGTCCTTCGAAAGGCTCCAGCCATAGCTTCACTGCAACCTGCTTGGTTCACAGAAACCTCTCAAAATACCATCAGAAACTGTCTCATCACCTGAAGCTACGGAGAGTCTACCCTCTCATCTACAGACAAGTGCTCCAACAAACAGGCTCCAAGTCGGGGGGCCAAAGGTAGATCCACATCTGCTCCATGCCTCTCACCATGGGCAATTCCAGAGAGGAATTAGTCCAGCCCCTGTCAAGAAGTGGTCCCAGAGCCCACTTTGTGTTGCCGTGAGCTAGAATATATCTTTTCAGTTTCTCTCA